AGATGAGTGGGATTGAGGTGCATGATGTGAAATCCACAAGAATCTATAAGGAGTTAAAAAAGAAAAACCGATACAGGTAGGTCATTAGGCCGTCTAGGGAAAAGAGCAAATCAGTGACTGAAAAGGTGAGTCTGGTATTGGAACACCCGGGAGAAGCTATAGGAGGGCAAGGCAAGCATGAACCGAGGACTTTATACCCAGCCCTTTAGATAGCTGGATCGTGGGAAGCATTAGACAAATGCAGAGAAAGCAAAAGCCAACAAGTGCTGGTGTGGACGGGGAAAAGAGTAACCTTGCTGCTGGTGGAAATGTGAATGGTGCAGGTGTTGTGGAAATACCACAGACTTTCCTTTAAATAAATAAATAAAAACCAAAAATAGAGTGACCACATGGCTTGGCTGTGCTATTCCTGTGTAGAGTCCTGAAAGACTTAATAATCCTTCTATGGAGGTACCATGTTCATTGATGTTGTATCCACAATAAAAAATAGTTAGGAAATGGAGCCAGCTGATGTCCATCAATAGATGAATGGATTAAAAAAAAAACACTAATGTGATTAAATTGCTATCCACGGAAATAGCTTAGTGATTTTAGGAATTTATTGGGGACTTGTATGTATATTTCTACTCTTGTTTAAGGTATTGTGTTTATACAACTCATTTAAAATTACAATATACAATTAAAAAATACAGATTAGCCAGGTGGTGGTGGTGTACACCTTTAATCCCAGCACTTGGGAGGCAGAGCCAGGCGGATCTCTGTGAGTTCGAGACCAGCCTGGTTTACAGATCCAGGACAGGTACCAAAACTATACAGAGAAACCCTGTCTGGAAAAAAAAAGAAAGTCATGTTAGTTAAGTTTTCTAGGTATACATAGATATATTTCAATTAGGTAGGCCATCTTCAAACACTTCAAAGACCTACAAAATATGGCATTTAAAATGTTTTAAAAATTTAGACTTTCTGGACAGTGAGACATGTCTACTCCTGGCAGCACTGATTTACTTCAAAGAAGATGATGGACATTGAAGAAACTCCATATGGAATTTGCTTTCCTTATGGGAAAAGGTAGCCATTTGGGTAAGAAACTGTTCTTGCCTGGACTGCTTGACAAAATGTTGTATCGACTGGACACACAGGACCCATGGAAAAATGACCACTAAATTCTGCCAAAACAAGGCAAGATGGTCCTTCAGGTTCCTGCTTCACAGAGGAGACTGCCAGACATTCTATAGGACACAGGGAAAATTGACTGAGAGACTAGGCCTATAGGCTGAAAATGGATGCCACAGTGGTACAGAGGAACTTTGGATGACTGTCCAGGCAGCCAGCTGTCTCTGTCATTCTAGATTTTTGGAAGTTGCTTACAATGCACTTCCTATTTACTTAGGTAATATTATATCCTTCTGGGATCTTTGATGTAGTTAAAGACTAGATAGTTATAATTTTTCTTGGTTACAATAAAAGGTAAATTAGATATGAAACTTTACACTCAGAAATATAGGTTAAATGATAAAATATTTTCTTTAATTTTGCCAAATACAAATAGACGAGGTATTGCAACTGTAATTCTTGCTTGATAACTGTTTGTTATATATAATTTTGCCATATTAAAGCTAAAACCTTCCTTTTTAATTAGAAAAAGGGACGTGCTGGAGGATGTCTTTCTGTTCGCTGTGAATATATGTTATTCCTATTGGTTAATAAGTTGCTTTGGCCATGGGAAGGCAGCTTAGAGACAGGTGGGAAATCCAAGGAGAGAGAAAGGAAGGAGAAAGGCGGAGTCTAGAGAGACACCAGCACCGCCAGGAGAAGTAAGATGTGAAAGTACCGGTAAGCCACGGCCATGTGGCAACTGATAGATACATAGAAATGGGTTAAGTTATAAGAGCTGGCTAGCAAGAAGCCTGCCACAGGCCATGCAGTTTGTAAATAATATAAACCTCTGTGTGTTTACTTGGGTCCCAGTGGCTGCGGGACTATGGGTGAGAGAGATTTGTCTGGACTGTGGGTGGGTGGGGGGCAAGTGGGACCCTAGAAATTTATGGCTACACAAAATAATGGAATTTTATGCAACTTTAAGAAAGATAAAATCATGACACTTATAGAAAAATTGTGAAATTGGAAATTATGTTATGTGAAAGATATCAGACTCCAAAAGACAGTGCAGGCTTTCTCTATATGTGGATCTTAAATCTTAATTTTTATATAAGTATTTTGGTGATAGTAGAGGCCATGAAACGAGAAAGGTCTCCATGAGAGGGGAAATGAGGTCTTAGGAAGGGTTGGGGAGGGTGTGAAGGAGGGTGCATGGAAGCAGAAGAGAGGCTCCTGGGGGGATGGTGGGGCAGATGGGGCGAGTCAGTGGGAGGAAAGTAAGGGCATGTAGGGGGAAGATCAACAAAAATGAACCATGTATGAAAATATGAAACCCAGTACTTTGTATCCTAGATTTTGAATGAATGAATCCTTGGAGAATACTGTAGTGGTGATTCCTTCCTGAAGAATCTGCTAGGACTGTGTTCTCAGAGTGAGTCCCCAGCATATCAGGGTCTCAAGGCCTTACTCTCGGCTCCAGCCCAAGCATACTGAGTCAGAAACTTTGGGGTGGAGCATGTCAGTTTGCTAGCGAGCCCTCCGGGGTCTTTCTGAGACATCCTAGTTGGCATAAACTCTGGATGTTCAAGGAAACTGTCAGAGAACTGTAGTGAGTGCCAGTCTTGTCTGCAGATCTAAATCTAAGGTGTAGATGGAGACATGGTGGGAAGAAGGTTTCCAGAAAATGATACAGTGGTTAACAGAGAACACAAGATGGCAACAGAAGAGACTGCAGGCCACCATGGCAGGGAGAACATGATGGCAGACGGTGCATGGCTTCAGTGGCCCTATCCTGGTGGGAGTATGCATGAGCTGCTTGCCCACTTCTCAGTGGACCAGGAAGTAGAGACAGGACAGAAGGCAGGCTGAGCTGTGAACCTCAAGGCCCGCCCTGCCTAGAGACCCACGTCTAGCTAGGCTGTACTTCTAAAGGTCCACGGTCTCCCTAAACAGCAGTACCTGCTGGGGACCAAGTGTTCAAACACATGAGCCAGTGGACACTTCACATTTGAACTATAGCACATAGGTAGTAGGTAGACATTGTATAACAATCAAAACTGTCAAGGCAGGCTGGAGAGATGGCTCAGTTGTTAAAAATGTGCACTGCTCTTGCAGAGGACCTGAGTTTAGTTCCTAGTACCTATACAGGTGGCTAGCAATCCCTTGCAGTTCCAGTTCCAAGGGATCTGATGCCTCCTGCTAGCCTCCGCAGGCACTGCACTCACTCTTACACAGACCCACGTACAGATGCACATACACACATGATTTAAACATCTTAAAACTGTCCAGATAGTAAAAAGTTAAGGAGAAGAGAAGAACCAAGGACATCCTAAAAGACAGAGTGATAGAGGTGACCAGCCAAACAGGCCAGGAAATTGGAGTCTGTGGCCCTGCCCTTGACCCCCTGTCCTGAAACAGCTCAGAGGAGTTAATTGGTGCAGCTGTGGAAATGAGAGCCCTAATGTGGAAGTTCGAGACCTTTCTAGTTCTTAGGAAGGATGCTGCCACAGGGTGAACCGAGACCATGTGTGTGAACTCCGCAGTAACTCATAGAAGTGAGTCTGCATTTGAGGGGGAAAAAGCAGTTGCAGCAAGTGGTGAAAATTAGAAAAAGTGCAAAGACTGCACAAGGTGTTAGTGCTTGTTGTTGTTGTTGCAAGTTTAAACCTGAAATTACGCTAAGATGAAGAGTTTGAAGAGCGAGGTTGATCATTTCTAGCTATAGTTATTCCATCCCCAGTATGCCAGCTTCCCGTGAGTGGTAGATCAAAGTGTTGACCTTTAAAATCTCTGTACTTCAGTCTTTTCTGTTTGTTTTGTTTTGAGACAGGGTCCCTCTGTGTAGCCCTGGCTGCCCTGGAACTCACGCTGTAGACCAGGCTGGCCTCAAACTCAGAGCTCTGCCTGCTTCTGGGTCCTGAGCGCTGGGATTAAAGGCAAGCGCCACCATGCCTGGCTTTGTATTTCAGTCTTAATGAACTCAGATTTAGTAATTTCTATTGCAATAAGAGGACAGTGAGGAATAGTCACATGAAAACATTGTTAGAAAGAAGAGAATGTTTTGATACTAAAATTTTTAACATTGGAATGACTGTAATTTTAAGTATTTAAAAACACAGTTACTCACCTATTGCAATGTGATTTGAAGCTGACCAGATGTGGAAAATATGTTTGATTATTTCTTCACATTTCTTGTCCTGTAAACTTCATGTGGATAAAATAAGAACTGTTATCTATATTACTTAAGCTTTTTCCTCTACACTATATATAATCCAATAGAAAGTTTCTTTATGACAATATCAAGACTCGGGAGCTTGCTGGGCGGTGGTGGCGCACGCCTTTAATCCCAGCACTTGGGAGGCAGAGCCACGTGGATCTCTGTGAGTTCGAGGCCAGCCTGGGCTACAGAGTGAGTTCCAGGAAGCTACACAGAGAAACCCTGTCTCAAAAAAGCAAAAAGAAAAAAGAAAAAAAAAGACTCGGGGGCCAAGGTGAACTAAGATACTCAGCTGCAGTGAATACAGATGGTGCGCACATGTGCGTACGTGCGTGCGTCTGTGTGTGTGCGCGCGTGCGTGTGCCTGAAGTTGACCTTGAGTATCTTTCTAGGTTGTCTCCACTTTATTTATTGAGACAAGATCTTTCACTGAATTCAGGGTTTATGGTATCTTGCTAGTCTATCTTTCCCTAGAGAAGATGTTACAAGCGGCTGCTCTGGCTCCCTGGCTGCTTTGTGAGTGCCAGGGATCAGAACTCAGGTCCTTAAGCTTGTGGGTCAGTTGTTTTATCCAGCGAGCCATCTCGTCTCTGCAGCCTGATACTTCCTGATATTTAAAAATTCGAGAGATATCACCGTACATCAGTTTGACAGCCAGTGGTACAGGACTGTTTCCGTTTTGCAGATATGGACGTGATGAGGCCCTTGATAAACGAGCAGAATTTCGATGGGACGTCAGACGAGGAGCAGGAGCAGACGCTCCTGCCTGTGCAGAAGCACTACCAGCTGGATGGGCAGCATGGGATTTCGTGAGTGTCAGGGTCGTGGGTCCTGGGCTCGGTCTGACTCTGTGTGCACTTCTTAGTCTCCCCCAGGTCTGAGTGTTTGCAGAATGCTACAGATGACACAGAGATGATTCGGAAGACTAAGGATTTAGATAGACTCCTAGATGCTTGTAGTCTGGGAGAGAAGGATATTATGACATTGAACAGCGTGGGGATTTCTTCAGTGCTGATGGATGTCCAGCCCTGTGTCCCTCAAAGAACGGTGTCAGTGAGAAGACAGAAGTGTTTAGTGTTAGGAGAATGGCTTCTCAGGGGAAGGAGCTCGTGCAGAATGAGGAGACAAGCTACTGGTAGAATGGGTTATAAAACCATGTTTTGGTGCCTTGTGATCATTGAATTCTTACTTTAATAGTGATTTCGTGATTAAGCACAGACACCTGAAATTTGACCAAGTATAAACTAAAAACACCGAATAACTCTAGGTAGTTGTTTTTGTTTCATGAGTTTGAAGTTTGAGTTTCTCTTAGTTTCAGTTTGTTTCTTCTTGGTCAAGGAGATGACCTCCAGTCACTCCTAGAAACTTCTAAGTCCTGAGGAAGCTCGTGATAGCAAATTATTATTTTACCTGAGGGTAGTGTTAAAACTTGTATAAATATTTTTTCTTTTATAACTTCCTTTTAGGGTAGCAATCATAGATCAAATGTTTAGAGCCATAATTATCTAGACAGTGCCAACAAGTCCTTCTGTTTTACCAGCCAGATCCTCAATGTTCTTGACACCATAGCAGCAAAGCATCTTAGGAGAAAACTGCAGTTGTAGTTGACTCTTCTATATGCCCCATATTTCATTTAATTTCCACAATAATTCTCTGTACTTGCCTTTTATGAGTGAAGATGGGATTTGATCCTAGGGTGACTTCTTGCCTGCCGGTGGGATGGAAACCATTACTTGTTTGTTGCCTAGGTCCTAGGTTGAATGCTTAAATCTTATGATTTTCACTTTCCAGATTCATGCAGACTCTGATGCATCTGCTTAAGGGGAACATCGGGACCGGCCTTTTGGGGCTCCCCTTGGCAATCAAGAATGCCGGCATTGTGGTAAGGCTGTCCGTGTGCCCTCCACTCTAGATACAGTCTGTGAAAATGTTTGAAAGCCACCATCTCGCCTCATCCAGTATGGGTTACATGTAGGTGGCCATTGGCTGTTGTCCTGATACAATTATGTGAACTCTAATAATCATGGTGCCTAACCCAGAGTGAGAATTACTGTTTTCATTTATATGTGATTGCTTATTTTTAATATTTAACAACAAAGTTTCAAACCTAACCCAGTTCTTAATTTCTGAAGATGAGTATGTCTCATTTTGGGGGGTTGTCAGAGGCTTAAGCAGTGTACCCACAGCAACTAATGTATTAAGGGAATGGATTTTTTTTGTGTGTGTAATCTCATTAGTGTTTTAGAGTCATTATAATATGTATGCAGTATTCATAAATAAGAAGAATAGTTGAAATGAGTACCAGCGTCTTTTAAACACCAATATCAAAGCAGTGTTAAAGACGGTTGCTGTAACTGCTGCATTTGAGGGTCGTGGTGAGGCGGGTTCCTGGATGAAGTAAACTACACAGAGCTGTTTTTAAATGGGTTGATTTCCATGGAGGGTGTAGCTATCCCATTTTTCTGTCCTGTGTGTAAAGTAACTAGATTTTTGATTGTTCAGGTAAGCTTTGCCTGGTCCTGTTACCCACCATAATCCAGGCATCCTTTGCATCTGCTACCCAGCCATGATCCAGGCACTTGGAGTCTGGCGCGAGTACACACTTAAAACTTTCCATGAACCACTTTTTGAAAGAATTATTTCCTAATTACTGTCCCTGACACACGTGCAGATTCTCCAAGAGCAATCTCTAGAAGGTTAAAAATCTTTTTTGTCTAGACAGGGTGTCTCAGTGTGTACTACACCCGTGGGACACTGATGCTGTAGATTTATCCCCCTGAGCTGGCTGTGACATTGCGTTCTATACTCTGCTGAGTGTCTACTCTAACACAGGCTTCAGTGGCCAAGTCGGCAAGTTAGCATCATTGTCCAAAATATCACCTGAAATAATTTCTGTGCCAGAATTACTGATTTTCTTCATGTCTGTGACGATTTAATCAGTGGATTCAACAATTTTTTCATTGTAAATGAATTGTCCATTGACCCACTGCTTATAATAAGCTCGCTCAGTTTTTAAAAGTGAATATTTAAATCTTCTGTATTTTCTTCTCCACAGCTTGGCCCAATCAGCCTTGTGTTTATAGGAATTATTTCCGTCCACTGTATGCACATATTGGTACGTTGCAGTCACTTTCTATGTCAGAGGTAAATGTGGACTCATTAAGTCTCTTTGATTTATTGTAAAGCTTCATGTTTGCTTAGAGCATCCTTGTCTCGTGTATCTCTTGTGCTTTGCCTCTAGAGCTTGTGTTTCCTTCCAACCTGACACAGCTGAGATAATAACCATGGGGCAGGCTAGCATTTCTGTAGAGAATGTGGTCAGGATCTGTGGGCAGTCATCCCTTAGTGTTCTCAGAGGACTGGTTCCAGGATCCCCATGGATACCTACACGTGCTCAAGTCCCTCACATAAAATGATGCAACCTCTGCCCAACCTTCCAGATGCCATAATCATCTTTAATACAGTACAAATGCTATGCACATTATTGTTCTATACTGTTCACCAAATAGTGACAAGAAAAATAAAGTTGTGTATGTAATTATCACAGACATGTTTTTTCATGAATTTTCCATATGCAGTTGGTTAACCCACACATGAGGAACTCGTGGGTAAGGAGGGATGATGGCTGTACTTCCTTTAGTGTTGACTGTTGTCTGTGTGTATACGCTGTATGTATGTGGGCACTTGGATGACAGTGCATGTGTGAAGGTGAGACGACTTGTGGAGTCAGCACTTTCCTCCACTCTCCGGGGCTGCTGGGCTTGAGCTCAGGTTGTCGGGCTTTTCTGGCAAGTACTTTAGCTGCTGAGTCATCTTGCTGGCCTGTGACAACAGACATTCAAAAGGTGCTCTGCTGGGGAGATGGGGTGGGTTCTTTTATCTAGTAGAAGGGGAAGCCACGCAGCTGTGCATTTGAAGTGGCAGCTCCAGGTCTTCAGTTCGTTGGTGATTCAGTTTGGGACAGAGCGGCTTTAGTGACAATGATAAGTGGGCTGACAGACCTAGACAAATAAATATCCCCTTTTAGTTCTGCTTCATGAAATGCTTCATGTTATATTGGACCAGGGGTCTGGCCCCAACATTTTCATTAAATGTTCATATAAACGGTTTAATATAAAACTGTTTATATCATGTCTGCTGTTTAAATAACGATGCAGACTCTAGAGAGGAAAGTGGAATAGAGCATGGAGAAGGAACACTGGCTTCATGGAGGTGTTCTGAAGACTAAACACGACAGTGTATTTGGAACTGTATTGCAGAGCCTGCATGCTGTTCCACAGGGCCATCACAGGATGGGTCCTCTTCAGATGACCAGTACAGTTGCTAGTTTGCGGTGCTTGAAGTATTTACATCAAAGCTGTCTGAGTCCTACAAATAGGAAAACTACAGCAGCAGATAAAATTTTGTATGCCTGCAACAGGGCAGATGATATTTTGAAATCTCTTGACTCATGCTCATGGGTACACAGATATTTATTCACACTTTGAAAACAAATCTGCTAATGTATATCCTGAGTTCACAAATCTCTATTTATTTGATGCTATTTTCATGGAATGGCCTTATAGACCAATTCAATACTTTGCTCTGTGTGTATGCCATTAAATTGCAGGTTTAAGAAGTCAACGTTGGGGTACAGTGACACTGTGAGTTTTGCCATGGAGGCCAGCCCGTGGAGTTTCCTTCAGAGGCAGGCAGCGTGGGGCCGGTGAGCACTGGCCTTGCTCCTAATGTCTGTGTGTTGAAGTTATGCTGATTTTTAACTATTTTCGTTGAGTAAGACATAAAGTATGACAAAGTTGTGGGAAATAGTCAGTGGTTTTTACAGTGGACAGACTCTGGTTCTAGTCACTGCTTGTTTGCTATTTTATGGTGTTGATGGCAGTTGACAGGAGTCATCAGTCAGTCATTCAGACCTTGTGCTCACCCCTTGCTCCAAGTCCAGTATGCAGGATGCAGTACCTGGGACCTGCTGTATCCAAATGATGTCGCATAGATGTCTGGCAATAGTTGCTCTCTCCTTCTACATAACTGTTTTATGTTTTGGAACTTTCCAGAGCATCTCATTATAAAATAAGAACATAGTAAATTTACCAAAGATGTTTCTGGAGGGTTGATTCATGCTTCCAATCCTCTTGTGTTCTGCATTCTTATGGACTTAGGAAGTAGCAAGTGTACTTCTGTGTGTAAACAACAGGAGGCCGGCAGGGTGGAAATACACTGGGATGGTGTGTGGAACGTCTTGAGAGTAGGGGGAGAGGTTTAGTCTAAAATACGCGTTTTTCTCCAGTGCTGAGGCTTGAACAAAGGTCCCTGGGCACACTGGCCTAAAGGCTGCATTGTGAGCCACACCCTAAGCCTGAACAGAGTTCTGTGAAATTGTTTTACAAGCAGCCGTTCTTACACAGCAGAATCACAGAAGTAGGACTTGATGTAAAAATCTTTGTCAGAAGCCGGGCGGTGGTGGTGCACGCCTTTAATCCCAGCACTCGGGAGGCAGAGCCAGGCGGATCTCTGTGAGTTCGAGGCCAGCCTGGGCTACCAAGTGAGTTCCAGGAAAGGCACAAAGCTACACAGAGAAACCCTGTCTCGAAAAACCAAAAAAAAAAAAAAATCTTTGTCAGCCTGGTCTACAGAGTGAGTTCCAGGACAGCTGTGGCCGTTAGACAGAGAAACCCTGTCTTGGAAAAAACCTTTGCCTTTTAACTGAGTGAAGCGTGCTTTTACTATCCTAGTCTAATGCCTTGCTGGCTGACATGTGAACTTCCTGGGAAACAGATATTTTAAATGGTCGTTATCTTAGGAAGTAAAAAAAAAAAAAATGGTATTGCAGAATGTTTTAAAATAGTTAAAAAGAGAAACGCTACCTGTTTAGAGTTCCCAGTGACACTTCTTTGTGGGACTGTGTTTTCAGGAACGTGGTTGACTTTTTTCTGGTGATAACACAGCTGGGATTCTGCAGCGTCTATATCGTCTTCTTAGCTGAAAATGTGAAACAGGTGAGTATGTTTCTGCAGTCAGTGAGACGTTTCCTTCAGATGCCTTGTTTATTGTATGGCTCATCTGTGGAAGCCATGGTTGAAGCTAAAGGCATGTTTCACTTGCAGTCTTTTTTTAAATTCTTCTTTAGTGACTCTTTGACAAGTTGGATTTCTGATGTTATTGCTGTTGGTATTATTATACCTGACATTATATCAACCGTGCTTGGTTTTTTGGGGGGCCAGAATGTGGTCTGGCTTACTGTGTCTTGATTATTTCAAATTTAGATCTCAAAAGTATGCACATAGATACTGGGGGTCACATCCTTGGTGTTGTTGATGTTCTTTAAAGGAGGTATAGGATGGTAGGCAGCAGCAGGAAGCCGGAGGTAAGAAGGCGAGCGTTTATTCCTAAGGTCCAGTAACTGTTGCTGTTGTTTTAAAAGGGTCTGAAAACACATGCTGTCTTGCAGTCATTCATATGGAACGTGATGGCAGCAGAGTCTGGGATCATGCGAGACGGCAGTGATGGAGCTGTTGTCCCATCCCCACCATTTTTACTTGTTTTTTGAGATGGTCTCACTTAATCCAGGCTTGAACTTTCTGTGTAGCTCAGGCTGGCCTTGGACCTCCTGATCCTCCTGTATTTACCTGCCAAGTGCTGGAACTGCAGATGTGTGCCACCGTGACTGGTCACGGCTGGGTCTTTCTAGTTCTCCCAAGAGAGTTGCCGACGAGCCCTGTTTGAATCTAGGAACAATACCTTGTGGTTTTATGTTTATAACTTTTACAATCACCTTGGAGTAACTACTGCGAAGTCTTGTGTACACGATTGACGTGTACTGAGTCCACCGGGCATTTTCCTGAGACGGAGCCCTCAGTCTCAGGCCACAGCTGCTACCCTGGCGTGTGCTTTGTTAGCTGTGTATTGCCTTGAACTCGGGTCTTGGCGTCTCATTTTCTAAGTGTTGAGTTTCCAGTTATGTACTGCCACACCTGGTTGGCCACCTTTGGTAATGATTTTTATCACCGGGTAGGAATTTTAGGGTTTTATTTTGGGTGGGGAGCGGGAGAGGGAGGAAACATCTAAAGACTTTTAATGACTTTCTCTTATGAAACAATGTCTGTTCCAGCCAGAGTTTAATGGAAAATTTAAGGCACAAGAAGATGAGGTAGAAAAAGTGGCTCCCTGGCTGGTTGGAAAGGGAAATTGTCTTTTATAACTAGAATGATGAAAGTCTTTTAGAATCATAAAGGGAAACAGAAAGACATGCAGTCAGACTTTAGAAAACAGCCCAAGGCAGCAAGGAACACCCACGTGGGCAGGGCGGGCAGCAGCCACAGAAGTGTGAAATTGGAAATTGTCACCTGGGCAGAAGTTTTCCTTCCATTGTGGGCAGTGCACATTACTATGTACACTGGCTAAACCTTACTGGTCATCACCGTCACTGTTAGACACCGTGGGATGAATTCACAGGTCACTCTTGTTGTAGGGAGACACCTTGGGATAACCTTACTGGTCACCACTGTCAGGGAGACACTGTGGGATGACCTCACTGGTGACCAGTGTCACAGTTAGACACTGTGGGATGACCTCACTGGTCACCACTGTCATAGGGAGACACTGTGGGATGACCTCACTGGTGACCAGTGTCACAGTTAGACACTGTGGGATGACCTCACTGGTCACCACTGTCATAGGGAGACACTATGGGATGACCTCACTGGTGACCACTGTCACAGTTAGACACTGTGGGATGACCTCACTGGTCACCACTGTCATAGGGAGACACTGTGGGATGACCTCACTGGTGACCAGTGTCACAGTTAGACACTGTGGGATGACCTCACTGGTCACCACTGTCAGGGAGACACTGTGGGATGACCTCACTGGTGACCAGTGTCACAGTTAGACACTGTGGGATGACCTCACTGGTCACCACTGCCATAGGGAGACACTATGGGATGACCTCACTGGTGACCACTGTCACAGTTAGACACTGTGGGATGACCTCACTAGTCACCACTGTCACGGCGCTTGATCATAGAGGATGTGAGTTTTATTTTCTCTCGTGACTGTAAGCTGATGGGTAATTTCCGTCCTCCTCTGTGACTGTACTGCAGGTTCATGAAGGACTCCTGGAGAGCACAGCGTTGGTTTCCAACAGCACAGATCCGTCTCAGGCGTGTGAGAGAAGAAGTGTGGACCTCAGGGTCTATATGCTCTGCTTTCTCCCGTTTATAATTCTCTTGGTCTTCATTCGTGAGCTGAAGAATCTCTTCATACTTTCGTTCCTTGCCAACATGTCCATGGCTGCCAGTCTTGTGATAATTTACCAGTATGTTGTCAGAGTAAGTCTGCTTTTGAGTAACCACCCTGTGTTCCCATGCGTGTAAAGCTTTCTTTGGAGGTGACAGTTGTGACATGGAGAGACCTGTTCCACACACGTGGCACTCGGACAGCAGCAAACGTTGATTTTCCTTCAGGGGATAATGGTAATGCATGCCATAGATGCTAAGAGGCTGCGTCTGGCTTGAATGTTGGTGAGGGGGCCTGTGGGTTTGCATCAGTGTTCCCAAACGGCCCCCTTCCCTGTCGCAGCTCTTGTGAGATTTAGGATTGTGCTCTTCCTACAGAGCCCCCCATGACTCAACTCGTTGAGTTACTGTGCTTATGCTTTGGAGCTCTGAGCCAGTCACAAGGATGGGCATGCATGTAATGCTCTAAGGTTTTTGCTTGCTGCCCTGTGCCCTCCACTGCCATGGCACAAGTCTGTGACTCCTTTGTTTGAAGACCATGCAGTAATTGGAACTGAGGTCACTGTTTGAAGTCTCAGGACTCTTAACCCAATTATACTAGGCAGAGGCCAAGGACCCCAAGAAAGTCAAGGATCCTGTTTTATTTCCTCATGATCTAATCCATCAAACATACTACTTCCAAGATATCATAAGATTTCCATGAGAAGTTTACATAAACTAATTTACTGGGTCTGTTTCACTTTCCTCCTTCTGGATTCTCAAATTGGTAGGAAAGAAGGTTGCCTGAGCCTTTCTGAGCTTCCCAGTCCCTTAGCTGGACATGTTAGATTGGGGGATCTCTCAGGAGAGGGAAGAGCACAAGGAAGTGCCATAGCATCCTGCTCACCTGAGTCACGGTTTAGCGTTAGCAAACGATCAAGACCTTTGGACCCTGCTCACTCTGCTCCTTGCTTTCCCCATCATGTGTCTTCTTCACATCATGTAATTCTACATGTGCCTCAACTGTTACCAACCTCCTCATTGCCCACATTACTCACGTGCTTTCACACTGGTTTGCATAGCCTCTTTCCTTGGCCTTGAGTTTTAATTCAGCAGGTAAGGCAGAGGAGAAGAGGGGGGACCAGAATTGGGGTGTCTGGAAGGAAGGTCACTGTGGTCAATGGTTTCTTAAGAGAGTGGGAAGCATTACCATGAGATGGTGCCAGGTAATAAAGGGCAGCGGGACCATCCACAGTGAGGAATAGGTTGTGTGTGTTGTGTCGGAGCACACACTGAAGCCAGAAGGAGGCCTGAACAGGGAGAGCCAGCACAGCAGTCAGGAGCCAGGGACCTGAAGGGGTGGGATGCATGGAGACCGCAGCAGCCTGGTGACGGTTGGGCTCTGGGTTCTGAGTATGCCTGCATACTTCTCATGTGGCAGGAGATGTATCCCATGTGCTGCCTGGGACTGGCCAGTGGACACAGGTACTCAGGAGGAATGTGTGGATGTGAGGGAAACAGTTGTTTCTGTAACGATGTCCTAACAGCTTAGCCTCCCTTAACATATGTGTAAAACGTTTACTGAATTTCATAAGCCCAGTTGCTCTGTGAAGCTTGGAAGACGTGATTTTGTTCTTTAATTTTAAATAATTTGCATTAGATAAAGCTGTAACTTGCTTTCTTTTTTCTTTTTTTTCTTTTCTGCAGAACATGCCAGATCCCCACAACCTTCCAATTGTGGCCGGTTGGAAGAAATACCCACTGTTTTTTGGTACTGCTGTGTTTGCTTTTGAAGGCATAGGAGTGGTAAGAATTAGCCATTACTTGTTTTTTAAACTCTTATCACAAGAATTTTTAAAGTCTAACTGTATAAAAGTACATGTTTTTTGTGGGGGTGGGGCAAGGCTTAGTTTCGTGTATTCATAGAACATGATTCCAGTTTGGTGGGTGAATGAAAACAATGAAATCAAAGGAGGAGGGCCTGGCTGCCCCTAAGGTGTGAGATTTTTTTATTGTAGATGTGAGGGAGAAAGCAGGCAGAGGGGAGAGTCCAGGCTGAACATGACTGGCCGACACCAGACCCTGAGAGGAGAGAGGGGAAGAGGGAGCAAGGGAAGAGCCACAGACCCCGGCCCAGGCCAAGAGGCCAAGAGACTGGGGGAGCCCAGCCCTTAGGATGGGGAGGTTTAGGGTAGGGGCGGGGTGAGGTGCTGGGAGGAGCCACAGGCACGAATGAGACATGTTGTAGCTTTGAGTCCTAACAGTGGGGTAGACTTGAACTCTTGTTTAGTTTTTCTACTGACCAGTAACTTAACCTTAGACATGTTTCTTAGGTTCTCTAAGTCTTTTCCTTGGTAGGTTAAGTGACAATATTAGACTAGATTTTTAGCATTTTATTGGGAAAAATTTCAAGCCTATAAAAGCCTTAAGGTATTATACTGAAAACTCTTGTTAAGTATCATGTAACTTCAGAAAATAGAACTCACAATTTTGTTTTGTTTGTATCCCACATACTCAAGCTTGCCCAAATAAAGCTTTTTTTTTTTTAATTTTTAAATTCTGTTATGCATCTGGGTTGTTTTCCTTGTAAGCATGTCTATGCACCAGATGCATGCCTGGTTCCTGTGGAGGCCAGAAGAGGGTTAGTGAGGCTTTGGAAAGGAGTTACAGATGTTTGTTAGCCACCACATGGGTTCTGAGAATCAAAACTAGGTCCTCTGGAAGAGCAGCCAGTGCTCTTAACCTCTGAGCCAGCTCTCCAGTCCTCAATAACCCATTTAAAAAGGTCATGTACTGGGGTGGGTCAGGGGAGTTCAGAGCACAGCTTCCAGGAGCTGGTTCTCTCCTTTTCCATTGTGGGGCAGAGTCTCTCCTGTTCCTGCTGCTCTGCGGCTCTCCAGGGTAATAGGCCAGAGAGGGTCTAGGTAGTTCTGTCTCCACCTCCCTCTTTCCACAGGAATATGCGATTTTAGATGTGAGGTCGCTTATCCAGCCTCTGCAGGGTCTGGTGACTGAACTCAGGCCATCCGGCTTGCATGTCAGCCTGCCAGCCCCAACATCACATTACAGACTAGAATATTTGAAGGCTATGGAAATAATTATAAAGTTATTGCCATGTGATACTCAAAGATAAGTCTCCCTTTGGGTCAGGCACATCATATTTGTTTTAAGGTACAACATTAGTGAGACGTCAGTGCCAGGAGATACATCCTGAGGCCTCTAACATCTTAAGTACTTCTACTCAAAATACTTTCAGCATTTGTGGCCTAGAATTTGTAGATTTAGGGAAATTTGAATATTAATGTCTACTGTCTTCAAGTCTGATGGTTTGGTATCAGAACAAAACCACTTTAAATGCCTCTTCCTGTGAATGCAAATGGATGTTGTGTCCGTCCGTCCGTCCGTCCGTCCGTCCCCCCGCCTCCCCGGGCTCTCTGCTGTCTGAATTCTTAGGAATTCTCACAGCTCCTCTCTGCGGTTGCAGCTGTAGATTCGGATTTTAATGTCTGTCTTTCGTTAGTTTAGGATCTTAATCATTGGATATTTAGTTAAGTGTTGATTCTCTGACAAAAGTCCAACATACAGTTGCTCATTCAAAACTAGCCTCACTATCCCACTTTCTCTTCCCTTTTTTGTTTTAATTTTTAATATTTGCTTTGTTAGGACACGAAGTTTCCTATGACATTTCTGTACACACACATCATATACTATCCTTCCCTTCTTTTGGCTGGTCTCTTCCTTATGCCACACAGTCCCTCCTGCCTTCCTGACACACACTCCACTCCTACCTCTCATCCCTTCCCAAGATCCCTGTCCTGTCCTGTGGTCCCCTTCCTGCCCCCTCCACACACACTATAGAGCAGTTACAGATGTCTACATGTGTGTTCTTATGCATGTGAGCTTTAACTTGCTCTGTGTCCTGAGGGCTTCAGAAGCAACACTCCTCACATAGCACACACCCTGGAGATCTGAATTCTAAATGCCATGCTCCAAGACAAGAACCACGTTCTGTGGAGACAAATGTCTGATGAAGACTGAAACCATGGGATCCAACATGAGTGTGGGGGCTCTCTATAGGCCAGAGAGGAAGGACATGCTCAGAGGACGGACAGTGAGGCAGTGAGCACCACCAGGGACGCACACATGCCTGGTCGTATCACAGTGACAGAATGTTGGGTTGTGACTCAGTGTGCATAACAGATCGCAGAAGTCCACAGGGAGTAAGTGATTGGACTAATGACTACGAGGCAGGATCCCTAGTTGCACCTCCTCCCCCAGCGGGTATAGATAACTCTCACTTAGTTCTTGGAGAGTGGGTGGAGTTAGAGACCCAGAGTATGATAAGGTGGGTGGGACTAGATGGAAGTACACCAGTCATCACAGTCATGATGGAAACGTGAAAGAAGAGCACTTTAGGGTGTGGTGTCCGTCTCTAAAAGCCATGACCCCTGTCTAGTCACAAGGAAGGCATTAGAACAGACCCAAATTAGAGGGATGTTGTGCAGAGGAGTTCAACAAGTCAGGACAGTGAGCAAAGAAAGACCGAGAAGCCAGCCAGACCACAGGAGAGCGAGGAAGCAAGGTGAAAAATGCAATACGGTGTCCTGGAAGGTCATTCATGGAAGAGCTGGAGAAATTGAGATGGGCTTTGGGGTTCAGTCACTTGTGGTTGGCCACTGTTGTCTCAGTTGTGACAACTGGTAGTATAAAGTGTTAATCACGGGAGAGCTGCTCCGGGGGGGCACATGGGAGCCATCTGTGTTTTCCTTGGCATTTAAAAACAAATCTAAAATTATTCTAACCAGAAAAGGTGTATAAAAAAAACCCAGCAGGTTGCCTGCTGAGAGCTGATCTTCAAATCTTTTTTAGGAATTAAAAAATAATGTAATATAAAAATCTACAGAGCACAGGGGCTGAGTGTGTTAGCAAAGTGCTTCTGCATAAGGATGAGCCCATCCCCCACATAATCAGCTGGGTGCAGATGTAATCCCAGTGCTGGGAAATGGAGACAGGCAGATCCTGATTGCTCACAGGTGGGCAGTTTAGCCCAGCCAGGAAGCTCCACATTCAGTGAGATTCTGTCTCAAACAGCAAGGTGGAAGCTTGGTATGGTGGTGCGCGCCTTTAGTCCCAGAATGTGGGAGGCAGAGGCAGGCAGATCCCTGTGAGTTTGAGGGCAAACTGGTCTGTATAGTTCCAGGCTAGCCAGGGCTACATAGTGAGACACTCTCAACCAACCCAAGAGGGGAAAACTGAGGTGGAACACGGTAGAGGAGGACACTGATGTCAACCCCTACACACACCACACACACGCAAACATACATGGATATGTCTACATATCACAAAGAAAATAGCTCTTACAAATGGAATGAAGAGAAGACTGCACATGAGACTGCAGAAGACCAACTTTTCTAATTACCCTGGTTATTCTGAAATTCCTGTATTCTATTCCTTTAAAAATAGTTACATTCTCCTCCTAGGTGCTTCCACTGGAAAACCAGATGAAGGAGTCTAAACGCTTTCCTCAGGCGCTGAACATCGGCATGGCGATTGTCACAGTCCTGTACGTCAGCCTGGCCACTCTAGGCTACATGTGCTTCCGTGATGAAATCAAAGGCAGCATTACACTGAATCTTCCCCAGGACATGTGGTAGGTAAAGCTGACTTACCAGTCATAGTTTCTGTGTTTTTTATTCACAAGATTTGATGGGGAAGATATATTTTTAGATTTATGATTTGAACGTTTAAACTTTTTCATGATTTCATTATTTGTAGAACTAAAAATGCACTTGACAGGCTTTTAAATTTTCAAATATGGGCTGGAGAGATGGCTCAGAGGTTAAGAGCACTGCTTGCTCTTCCAAAGGTCCTGAGTTCAATTCCCAGCAACCACACGGAGGCTCATAACCATCTGTAATGAGATCTGGCACCCTCTTCTGGCCTGCAGGGACACATGCAGACAGAACACTGTATACATAATAAATAAATAAATCTAAAAAAAAAGAGTTGGATCTTTTAAAAAAAATTTTCAAATATGAGACATGGGTAGAAACAGTAACAATATTTATTCACAGAAGTATTTAAAGTAAGTCTTCCTGGAAAAGGAACTGAAGAGAAAGCCCACAGACAGATAGATAGATGCCCCTGTTCCCAGCTAAGACATGGAGAAGGACGGCGGCAGGACTCTAGGAAGGCATGCCTATATATTGGCAGTTCAAGTGTGGGGGTGTGACCTGTACTTGAAGTAGCCCTTCATTCCTTACAGGACTGGCTCATCTCTGACCCCTGCTTGATATGGTTCTCAAGTTAGAACACAGCAAATTAGGACTTGTGACTCAGAGACTGTTCAATCATAGGTTAGCCATCTAATTTTCAGCTAGAAGAAGGCCTCCAAAAGTTATACTGAGAAACAGTAGACATCTTGAAAAGTAGGCGAGCAAGTCAGGGTAGAGAGAGGTTTTCTTTGGAGAGAGTCCATCTGAACCTCTTCACAGGGTGGCTGGGTGCAGCCTGTCCTGGTTCACTGTCTGCCTTGTGGACCTGGTAAGGTAGTAGGAGTTAATAGTCCTTTGAACTATTAACTCCGAGAGCTACAGGGTGACTGTCCTCTCAAAGGCTAGTGCTCTAGAAAGTGATAGTGCAGAAGGCCCTGGGATTGCGTGTTTCCTCTTGTCTCCTGTGTGCATCGCAGAGTGTACAGCTCTGTGGCTACTTAAGCTGAAGTGAGAACCAAGGTTGAAGAGTTGAGAAAAAGTATTAAGTGTTATTGAAGGACACATGCCAACCATAGAGATAAATGGGCTTTTGAAACAGAATAGGTAAAAGTGAAATAAATGGGGCTTTTATACAGTGTGTTTGAACACTGACATTTCTATATTACTCTTCTAGGGTTGAAAAACCAGTCTGTGTAGTGCTCACTTCTCCAGCACGTAATGTGAGGAAAAAATTAGAGCAGTGTTCCATATAACACCAGATAACAGTACTATGTGTGGATGGTATTAACACTAACCATGTGTTAGCCTGTGGAACTCCAGCTTTATGTCAGTGGAATGTAATTATAATTATATGCAAAATAGTGTTTTCATTTTAAAGTATATTACCGACCATACTTTGAAGATATAACAGTAATTAGAAAACAGCAATATTCCTCTTTTAAGTGAATTATGAATTAATAAGAATGTTTGCTTAATTCTCTACAGCTGCTTATCAGGACATGCGAAAAAATAGTCATTTGGTAATTTTACGTATTTTCAGCCACAACCATTTACAGTTACATTTTAAGGCCCTAGCTAAGTATGTCCTTGGGTAATTTCTAAATTAAGATTTATTATTTTCAGCCCTGAGGACTTCCTTGTTCCTAATTGTGGTGTTTGCCACATTTTCAAGTCTACTCTTACTCGGCCCCATTTGCTTCTTGTATTTGCTCCTCGGATGTGTGTGTGCACTGCGGCCAAAGCCTACTGAATCCTTGCTTGGTCACAGACCGCAGAGTGCGTATGCTTTTCAGGGCTGTTGGTCTTAGGATGTCAGAAATAAGCTTAAGCCCTAATTAATGGCTTTGCCGAAAGTAGAGTCCTGTCTATCCTTTTAGGATAATAGGATTTGTTCCAAGGAGACGCACAGAGGCTGTGGACCCTGGCATTTCCACAGGCGAATGAACACAGGAGCTGGTCACTGCCCCAGCCTGAAGCAGTCTCCCTCAGCACTGCCCCAGAATCACAGCTCCCTCCAGCCACAGCTGCCTTTCTAGTGTGTTTCTTAGAACACGCAAGTGGATATTTCTTTTGATTATTGTAGCTGGCGTTTTCTCTCCGGGTCCTGCCAAGCCTCGGCAGTCCCTTAGCCCATTTATAAAATAAACATACAGACGCTTATATTATTTAAACTGCTTAACCATTAGCTCAGGCCTATCATTGTTTAGCTCTTACTCTTATATTTAGCCCATTTCTATTAATCTATACTTTGCCACGTGGCTCGTGCCTTATTGGTACCTTACATCTTCATTGTCCTGGCGGTGGCTGCAGGCAGTCTCTTCCTTCCCTTACTGTTCCCTTAATTCTCCTCTCTGTTAGTCCCGCCTATACTTCCTGTCTGGCTACTGGCCAATCAGTGTTTTATTTATTAACATATTTGCCATACAGAACATCCCACAGCAGATTTTAAATATAAAAAATACTTTAAAATTTCAAAATGTTAAAGTATTGAAATATTACTATTTTTATCATCCATAGCTCAGAGGAGTAGATTTATTGTTCATCTGACTCTTGTGAGTCCATACATTCTCTACACCTCACCAAAAATGTCACTTTCTCTAGATAAGGATTTGCTGAGGTATTGACTGAGACATACATGCTGAAGGGCTGGAGAACTGGCTCAGCCTTTCAGAGCACTTGGTTCAGTTCCCAAGGCCCATGTGATGGCTCACAGCCAGTTATAATTGTGGTTCCAGGGGATCCGGTGCCCTCTTCTGTTCCCTAGAGGCACCGGACACTCATATGGTACACAGAGATACATGTAGGTGAAACACATAAAATACTAAATTAATTAATTAAAAAAGGAAAGAATGAAGTGCATGTGAGTTTTGGCAGGGGGCCATCACCAAGGTAAAATCTAAAGACTATCACACATTTTATATTGAATTGACATACTACTGTTTATAGTGAGTCCTCCAGAGATGACCACCTAGACACAGTCTAGCCAATTGAAAGTCTTTATTGTAGCTGGCTGGAACAACACTCAGATATTTGGGACCCAATTGTAGCCCTGAGCAAGGGGTTTTTAAAGACAAACAAAACTTCTGTATCTCACTGGGCAGCTGCAGGGGGAGATTTAACATAAGTAAGCAGTTCAGCAGAAGCTAAGTTAAGCAGTCAGCTGGAGGGGAGGTTTGTATAAGCAGGCAGTTTAACAGAGGCTGAGATGAGGTAGCGGGGGCATCGTGACTTGATTCCTAGAATAGAATTGGTAATTTTCCCTGGGATTCTCCGTCAAGGAGATCAAATTCTAGTTAAACCTGAAATGGCCTTTGTAACAATACAAGATGGAGGACCCTCTGCACTGTCTTGCCCTGTCAGACTACACTGGACCCTGTTAATATGTGGGACTCTCCGTGTATCACATAACATGAGCAATTAGAGAATTCTGAAGATGTCTATGAGTGGAACACTGATGTGCACTGGAAGCCCTGACCTCCAAGGGACAAGTTTGCATCACAAACCAAGCAGCAGCAGCAGCAGCAGCAGCAGCAGCAGCAGCAGCACAGCACAGCTCTCCCCTTACTGCTTTGATCTTAACACAGGCAGCAGGTGCCACGTGGAAACTCAGCTGGGGAAAGGGTTCAGATGCCGTCCTTGTGCCCTTTGCCTCACGAAAATGTAAAGCAAGGAGGGCTCACGTGGAGAGCCTAATATGACATTTTTCTTCTACATGGAGATCACTGGGGCTGTGACTCAATATTTCAAAGAAATATATTCAAATTTTTAAAAGAAAGTTGAAAAAAATTTTTCAGGGAGCACCAGCGTGGCCCTAAACTCAGTCTTCTAGCACCGTGTCCCCAAGTCTGTGCTCAGCCTCACAGGCTCGTCAGAGCGAGTTGTCTATTGAGGACTAGAAATGTGGTCAGAGGAGGTTAGTTTTTTTTTTTTTTTTTTTTTTTTAAATATGTGTGTGTTTTGCTTTCTTCCTTGAGACAGGGTTCTTAGTCTGTAGCCACTGGTCTAGTCTGGAAATGAGTACAGATGTAGGCCAGACTGATGTGGAACTCACAGCGGTTCCCCCTGCGTTGGCTTCCTGAGTGTTGGCCTTATAGCTGTACACCACCACGTCTGGTTTGGTTGCCTTTTTCACCTTTGATTAGGACATTTCTAAACTGCCTTGTGTTCTTTATTTCTTGTTTATCCTCTAAGAATTAAAAAAGAGGAAAGTCAAACTCACATTAAGAAAAAACTAAATGTTGAATTTCTTTTTTCCAACAGGTTGTATCAGTCAGTGAAAATTCTGTATTCCTTTGGCATTTTCGTGACCTATTCAATTCAGTTCTATGTTCCAGCAGAGATCATTATCCCTGGAGTCACTGCCAGACTTCATGCCAAATGGAAGCGCATCTGTGAATTTGGGATACGGTCCTTCTTGGTTAGTATCACTTGTAAGTATCAGTACATGTCTATTGTAATAGCTGACTTGCATGTGCATGTGTTAATGTGAGACCTGTTTAAATCATATATTTTGCAAACAGTTATTTTTTTAGAAATGGGGCTATGTTTGTGTATGTGTAGATCAGGGCAGCTTCAAACATTGTCCTCCTGCCTCAGATTCCCAAATTCCAAGGTGGCAGGTTTGCACCACCACTCCTGGCTTAGCCTTAAACCATTATCAAGAATTCCACAGGAGGAGCTGGCCACTGTTGAGCGTACCACATCGGGGCACTGTGGGCACTGCTCAGTGTACCACATCAGAACACCAGCTTTGCTCACTTGGTTAAAGTGGCCTCTTTGTTTCTCCGCTTCAAAGACAGTGTCTTAGGGAGATAATTTGTGACTATACGTATATCCGGATCTCATCCAGCTTTAAAATTTTTGGTACTAGAAACAAACCCTCACACATGCCAGACATGCACTATACCCCTGGCCAGACTTGGGTTTTTGAGACAGGGCCTTGCTATGTAGCTCAGGCTGGCCTCGATCTCATGATCTTCCTGACTTGGAAACCCAGTTTCTGGGATTGAAGCTTGCACTGCCACACAGCACATCCTACTCTGTCCACTCATTTTTCAATCCTCCATTGCCTCCTCTTGCTCAGTGACTATGGCCTTGTTCTCTTGATAATGACCCTCTGGTGTGTTGTCCTGAAGAGTGGCTGACCACAATTCTGCTGTAAGAACTGGGCTCTCTTTGCTCCTGTTTATTCCTGGCACACCACACTGTTTTGTGTGTCATAGACTCCTCTGTGTGGCAGGGAGAGGAACTCAGTGCTCTGAAATAGACACTCCAATCTCATAGCACAAAGTTAATAGTTGTTTCCATGAGAAATGTTTTCTGATAAGTATGAGTCCAGAAAGTGTTTCTTTGGTTTGCTCCTCCTTAGCTCAGAATAAATTATGACAGTTTTCCCATTAGCAGTGGCTTCTGCTAATTACTTTCATTGTATCAAAAAGCTCTTCGTTAAGTCCCTGTGTGTGTAGTAAACATGTCAACAGAAGCCATTTTTTTTTAATAGGTGCTGGGGCGGTTCTCATTCCTCGCCTAGACATCGTGATCTCCTTTGTTGGGGCTGTAAGCAGCAGTACGCTGGCCCTGATCCTGCCCCCCATCGTGGAAATCCTTACATTTTCTAAGGAACACTACAACATATGGATGATCCTGAAAAACATTTCCATAGCATTCACTGGAGTCGTTGGCTTCTTGTTGGGCACATATGTCACTGTTGAAGAAATTATTTATCCAACTACAGTAGCTGGTACCCCACAGAGTCTCTCTCTGAATGTGAACTCTACATGCTTAGCACCTGGTTTGAAATAGTGGAAGATCTGTGAGCCTTCTGTTATCATCCCAATTCTAACAGCAGTTAAGAACCAGTACAGTGTATTACTGTACACCTAAACATAGTGCCAAACTCTTGTTTTTGTTGGCACAGTATTGTAATTGGATTGTGAACTGGTCATCTTTTGCAGCTGTGGTAAACTATGGCAGATTCTTGCTTTTATCTAATGACAATGAAAAATTTTAAATTAGCTTTGAGAATTGAAAAAACTAAAATCAAAACTTAAACAATAAGCATACCCTGTTAGTCTTTGTTTCTGTAAGAAACACTTTGAATAAGAATTATCTTTCTTACCACTATTGAGAAGATAAAGCAATTCAGCATTGTGGAAATTAAATAGGGTCATAGTTAAGAAAATCTTTCTGGAACATCCCACAGTAGCAAGTAAGCCTCCTGTTTGAAAATGCATTGATTGCATTTTTATTCCATGGGTAATGCTTCTGATAGCCCCTGGGGAGGATAGACAATTCCCATTGACCATTATGTAAACATTAGGAAGTTTCCAGAGCCAGAGTCTTCACAGGTAGGTTCTACAGACAGTCGGGCTGCATAGTCACTGGGAAGCACTGAACAGGGTTCTCACCTCCTGTTTCCATCATAGGTGAAAAGGCCATTGAAGTTTCTGGAATACTGCTCCCTTGGTTACTGTCTTAGTTAAGTTCCTATTGCTGTGATACAGCACCATGACCAAAATCAATTTATGGAGCAAAGAGGTTATTTCAGTTTACAGTTCCACATCATGGTCCATCATCAAAGGAAGTCAGGGCAGGAACATGGAGCAGGAGCTGATGCAGAAGCGAGGGAGGACGCTGCTTACTGGCTTGCTCCTCATGACTTGTTCACCCTACTTTGTTATAGCACCCAGGACCACCAGCCCAGAGGTGGCCCCACCTACAAAGGACTGAATCATCAATCTGGGAAATACTCCTACAGACTTGCCTACAGGTTAGTCTTACAGAGACATTTTCTCAATTGAGTGTCTCACTTCTAGAGTGTGTCAAGCTGACATAAACTGGACAGGACAGTTTCCAGTGTAGGAAGTAGAGTCCCAAAATGTCAGGTGACTTCATCAAGAGCACTTACTGAGTCAAGAAAGCCTGATAGTTGACTCCATGCAGAGTTTTTTTTTAAATTATTTTTCATGTTATAGTCAAGGAGAATGAAAAGCCACATCCAGCTTTATTTCAATGTAGAGTTTAATTATATTTTCATCTTTTGAGAGTGTGTGCCTGCTCTTTGAATATAGGTGACATAAAATTTCAAGAATCCTGCCTGGTGGCTTTATAGACCTCACACTGGAAGAGAAGCTAACATTTCCTTAAACAGCAGGGAACTGGCTAGCTGTGGGGTGTGCTGGTCACAGGAGGTGGGGTCTCCTTAAACAGCAGGGGACAGATGGCTAACTGTGCAGTATTCTGGTCACTTGCCTCCTGGGCCTTCAGGCATCAGAGATAGATGACAAAATACAATTTTGGATCTTCCTAGCCTCATAGCATTCTTACTGCAATAGTAAAGGAACCCTAAAATGCATGCTTAGGAAAACTTGAAACAATCAAAAACTGCCTGGTAAATACTGAGACACTTCAGGCATCATCCTGAGAAGTGCGTCCTTTGTTCCATCTCCAAACACACTAGCTAGGCAAACAAGCTCATTTGATGATAAAGATGAGAATTATGGGGTTTAAAGGAATGTGTACCGGGTCATCTCCTGACTTCTCAGCCCATGGCTCTCCAGTGTATTGGTCTGTAAGATGTCACCAAGCCATCTGTGGAATTCTCTATTTTTCTATGTAAATGTTAACTTATTTGCTTATGTCATTACTTTGTCTTCATGTGAGCCTATATATATCAGAAGCTCAGAAGCTTTATTTTGGTATGAATTCATAAGAACCAAAAATTTAAAAACATTTATGTTAGATATTTCTAATGATTGTTTATGATATTTAATGTTAAATTGTTACTTCAAGTCTTTAGTCTTGTGCAGAGAAAGTGGACGAGGTTGTGAGGAAAGGAATTTCATAGGAATGTGACTGAGAAATCAGTATTTAAAACGTGCAGTGGCATACAGCAAGTTAAAATTCACTGACTAGGAGCTACATGAGGCTCTTGCTCCTGTCTTCACATTATGTTCTACTCTGCATGCTCAATTGTATTTTTGTATCTTCACCTGTTACTTGTGGAGTTCACCAAGTGCAGTGGGTTTTTAAATACTGGGTCACGGCAGTACTATTTTTTGTTTTTTTTGTTTGTTTGTTTTTCAAGACAGGGTTTCTCTGTGTAGCTTTGCGCCTTTCCTGGAACTCACTTGGTAGCCCAGGCTGGCCTCGAACTCACAGAGATCCGCCTGCCTCTGCCTCCCGAGTGCTGCAGTACTTTTTAAGTTCTGCACAAACACTGTGAGCATCTTATCAGCCAGGATTTCCCACACAGTAAGAGTGCTGAATCAACACCCCATGTGGGAGTCCCCAAATGATCAACACAGGAGCAGTCACCAGACAGAAAGGAACGTAGACTAAGAGGAGAGGAAATAGTGTGAAACACGGGTTAGATGCAAAGTGTAAAAGGCATGCACTCTTGTTTAAGGGCACTGAGATGTATTTATCATTTGCTCATTTTCTATAATAGTTAGTTTTACAGAATTATATTTTCTAAAGATTTTTGGAGATGATATTTTGATTTTAGCAGCTATTCCCTTTGTCTGGGGGCCTGGAGGAAGGAGAAGCGGCCACACATGTTGAATTCATGTTTGCTCTCTTGATCCATCACATGGTGGCTGAAATGACCTCCGCAGTTTACTCCTCAGCACAGTGGGAACTTCCCCTGAAAGCTGGCTGTGTGGGTGCCATTTCTGCTGTGGAGAGCTGAGAGGAAAGCCGTTGTTCACCTCCCATGGGCTAGACTCAGCCATTTGCCATTTGTCTCTGTTCCCTGACACTCCAAAGAGTATTCGTCGGTGGCTGGGTCCTCTTGTCAAAACACTGTTCCCGAATGGCCCAGTTTCTTCACATTAAGAAGTGGGAGCTAGAAGTTTTCAGGTAGAGAATGCTGCTTGAAGAGAACACACCGGGGCTTGCCACGCCCCACTACTGCCCTGCTCTGTTCTCCCTCACTTGTCACCAAAGCCAGTTCTGAGTCTCCTGAGATGGTGTTCGTGAAGTGGTTATGAGCCATTTACGGCAGTGCGCTTGTGATTTCCTATAGGCTTTGATCGTGGATGTATTTGTAGTCCTAGAAAATGTCAGCGTAAGTGCACGTGGGTGCCATTTCTATGGAAGTCGCACTCAGCCCTCCCGGTTCACTTGAGTCCCCCCCAGATGCCAGGGTGCTTGTTATTGGCAGCACACAGTAGGTCTTGTGTGCAACTCCTTTTCCTTCAGTCAAGATGGAAAAGATACAGAATAAGCCAATGGAGATAATACAGTTGCTTATGTCAGCAGACATTAACTGTTGAGCAAGAAAATAATTGGTTAAAATATAAAGCAGTAATGTAAAATTATAAAATATTGGAAATGGGTTTATTTTATCAGCTTGGTCCAGTTATCTCCCCTTGATTAAGAAAGTGGGAAATTTGTCTACTGAGGATAACAGGATGCTTCCTATCATTAAATGGCTACATGTTACTTGATCACACAGGACTTCCTGGATCTGGTTAGGATATAAAAAGAAATATGGCTAGGTCTGGAATTTATTGCCTAAACAGTGAAATGACAAATCACCCAATTGTTCAGATTTCCTGTTAGAATTGGCTACTTTTTATGTGCATCCATGCATGTTACCCCAAAGGGACTCACCTCTGAATCCATTCAACTACTCTACCACAGATTGGACCACAGTGATGATCACATAGGAAAATGTATATTCATGACATGAAAAGTCAAGCTATAGATTTTTGTTTTTCAAAAATGATTTTATTAGCTTTATTAAAAGTCAAGTTTCATTGGACTTGTGTCATTTCTTATAATTTATTTTTCTTTGTAAAAAATTTGAAAAATGTCTGCAAGTACTGTAACTTCTCAATTGTCAATAAAGTATTATTTTGCTTGCTATTAAATGCTTTTTAAGTTTTCCATTTATAAGATTAAATAAAATGGAAAATATCCTAGCTAAAAATGCACAAATATTTTGTTTTATTAAAGTTTTAAAATTAACTTCTTATTGTATGTATACATGATCTAGATGTGTGGCTGCACATGCCACAATGCATGTGGAGGTCAGAGGACAACTTTGTGGAGTTGGTTCTTTCATCTTTACATGGGTGGGATCGAACTCAGGTCCTCAGGCTTGTGTGGCAAGCTTCTTTAATCATTTTGCCATTTTGCTGTCCTTCCCCAGTTTTCAGTTGCTTAAACTTTGTTTCATTGTTATTACTGTGTGTGTGTGTGTGTGTGTGTGTGTGTGAGAGAGAGAGAGAGAGAGAGAGAGAGAGAGAGAGAGAGAGAGAGAGAGAGAGAGAGAGAGATGCCTGAAATTGTTCATGATGAATAGTATAAACAGTCTTTATGGATATTAAAGGCCTCAACGATTTAAGAGTAGATTAAAAATGAAAGGACACTCAGAACCATGTACCCAGTGATGGACATGACTCAATTTACCACTTTATTTCAAAAAAATCTAAAGTGTGTTAAAGGTTGCCACCACTGAGGACTGATAAATGTTTGAGATGATGAGCATGCCAGCTCTCTGACTTGAAAACTACACATTGTATACATGTAGTAAAACCTCATGTTGTACCCAAAAAATATCTGATTTTTATTTGCCATTTGAAAAACCTTGAAGCAACTGGGTGTGAGTCATATGGGTTGATTTATAAAAATGAGACAGTGGTTTCAGAAAGTGTTTTTCCACCCCCCACCAAAGGAAACAGAATCCCAGGAATTCTGATCCTGTGAACTTTCGACAAGTGTGTGAGAAACTTCAAGAGAGAAACCTAAAAACAAACCACCAACAAAATAACAGTAAATCTCTACTGGGCAGGTGTTGTGTAATAACGAGGCTGAGGCAGGAGATCTGAAATTCCAGGCCAGGCTGGACTACAGAAGAAGACCCCATCTCAAAAACAAAACCAATAAGCAAAAATTGCTTGTAAGCAGAACATATGTTTGACCCACAAGAGAAGAAACAGAACAGCTCCCCCCCAGAACAGCTCCCCCCCCACATTGTAATTGAAGGGAGATGTCCCTGTAATGAGAAGCCACATCCAATCATCCACCGTTTGTGGTCCCTTCTCCCATGTGGGAAGCAGCATCCGGATCTTTCACCAGTGCCACCACCACACTCAGAACATGGCTTCTGAAGTCACCATTGGAGGGAAAAATGAGCTTGGACTGGAAGAGAGACATGCCATTTCTTCCTTCATGTTACTGCCTGGAACTAATCACATAGTCTTCAGCTACCAGTCAAAAGGGGCTGGGAAAGAACACACACCAGGAAGAGAAAGTAGGATTGAGAACATCAATTGAGTTTCATATGAGGCATGAATAAGAGTGTTATATAAAAAATTCTATTGAGCCGGGCGGTGGTGGTGCACGCCTTTAATCCCGGCACTCGAAAGGCAGAGCCAGGCGGATTTCTGTGAGTTCAAGGCCAGCCTGGGCTACCAAGTGAGTTCCAGGAAAGGTGCAAAGCTACACAGAGAAACCCTGTCTCAAAAAACAAAAAAAAAAACAAAAAAAACAAAAAAAATCTATTGAGTATGATTTTAAACTATGAAATTTAAAGCTAAAGCATGGTAGACCTAATAAAGCTTGAATTTAAGGATTCCTGTTTGGGATGTGCCGTGGACCCCTGAGAAAACTCAGAGCCACTGCTGACCAGGAGGTGTCTTACAAACTGCTGCTTGTACTCTTCATCTTCTTAGCTGAAGTGAAGTTACCGAGAACTGACTCAGCCTGAGCTGTTCCCATGGGTTCATTTTCATCTCACTCAGGAGCACTGGGGAGCCAGAGCAGGACCACACACTCAGAGCATCCCCTCCCACACACCGTCATCCTGAGGTGTGGAGATAAGAGACTTGGGATGAACCAGACCCTGTAGAGTGCTGATCTGATTAGCACTGCCAACTGAGCATCCACATGGGATCCTGAAAAGGCAGTGGTGGAGAACTCATTTCTGTTACAATAAGGTGGGGAGGAATGTGGGCTTTTCAGCTTTTAAAAGGTTAAATTTCTGCATCCAGGTTTCTTTTCTGTTGCTGTGATAAAACACCCTGATCAAAAGCGACCTGGAGAGGAAAGGGTTTATTGGGCTTACATCATGTCACAGTCCCTCACTGAGGAAGTCAGGGCAAGAACAGAAGCAGAAACCATGGATGAGGGCTGCTGTTTTAATAACATGTATTCCTGTGAAGAGACACCATGACCAAGACAACTTATATGAGGAAGCATTTAACGGGGGCTTACTGTTTCAGAGGGTTAGTCCATTGTCATCATGGTGGGGGCATGGCAGCAGCAGGCAGGCATGGTGCTGGAGTGGCAGCTGAGAGCTCACATCTGATCCAAACCAGTTCTACCAACTGGGGACTAAGCATTCAAATATGAGCCTATGGGGCCATTTTCTTTCAAATCGCCACAGCTGCCTGCTGGACTGTTCTCTGAGTCACCCTCTGCTAGTTCCTTACGCCAGCCAGGCCCATCCGCCTAGGCAGGTGAGAATTCTACCATTGATTATTTATACCACCCATGCCCCGCTGTCTAGTACCCATAGTGGGTACCCACATCAGTCATCAATCAAGACAGTTCCTTTCAGACATGGCCATAGGCCAGTCTGATCAAGGCATTCTTCATTTGGGGTCCCCCTCCCCGGGTGATTCTAGGTTGTGTCAAATTGACGATTAAAAACTGACCAGTACAAGTTGTCATACAAAGCAGCAGTCTTCTTGTTGGCACTTTTTATGCATCCATGGCATGATACTGTGTTCTTAGCACATTCTTACCTGTCTCCGTGCCCTTCCTCTCCCCAGATTATCCCCTTTCTTATATTTAGGTTTTAGAATTCAAAACGCAACCAAGAAACCTGACTACAGTGAATATGGAATAATATTCCACGGTGTTTTGATTCTGAAATTTGCATCTACCTTTTCCTCCTCAGCCCCCAAGTCTCAGAGTTACACCAGCACCATTCCAGGAGTGCAGCTGCTGAGATGAATTTAGATTCCTGTCTAAGCATAAGAAGGTGTCAATAAACGTTTGATGAATGAGGAACAGATGCAGGGACTTAACACTGCAGGACCCCAGGCGCCACCAGTTTTCATTTAAAAGATAAAATCAGTAATTAAACCTGCTGTTTTCAGTCTTTTTTTAAATAATTTTTTATATTTAAATTTTTTTTTCTTTCCTTTTAAATACCAACCCCTGTTCCCCCTCCCTCCTCTTCTGCTCCCCCTACCTCCCCCCATCTACCCCCATCCCTGTAAACTGGGAGGGGGAATAGAGGAGAGGGGATTGGAGGGAATGGGAGGTGGGAAGATGGGGGAGGGAGAGCAATGAAAGAGAGATCTTGACAGAGTGTACCACTAAGGGGATGGGGAGAAATCTGCAGCTAGGGAAATCCCCAGGAACTCAAAAGACTGTCCCCAGCTAAGACTCAGCAGTGGTGGAGAGGGTGCTTGAACTAGCCTTCCCCTGCGCTCAGATTGGTGTTTTGAGTCTTTCTTGAGCCTTAGTATCATGTATAATCCTGGCATGACTGGGAGTGGCTACTTGCTGTTAAGTTTTGTATTTTTTATTACAAAGCATTGTTTAATACAATATTGAAGAGAATATACCTTTGGAGGAAATAGGTAACGTGAAAAGTGCCTGGTGTGGTTTGAGTATGGTTTAAATGTGTTCTCCCAAAAGGTTCGTGTGTTGGGAGTTGCTCCTAGCTTTGAGGTGTAGAGGTGCTGTGGACCCTTTAAGAGTGATGGAGAGGGACCTGCATGGATCACTGGAGGCAGGGCCTCAGAGATTGTGGAATCCAGACTCTTTCTGACTTCCTGTTCCTGTACGTCTGTATTCCTAACATGGGCATCCATGAGATTGCCTAGGAATCTCACCAGACTTCCAACATCAATGAGCTACGAACCTCTCTTTTTCTTGGTAAATAGTTTGTCTCTGGAATTTTGCCTCACCTGAGTAATAGGTAATACACAACCTTCAAAAGAGGACCGAAACCCCATCCTCGTGGGATTAAGGCCTACGGCCTGTTCTTTCGTGCTTAGTTTTCACCAACAACTACCACTTGAGCTGAGTCATCTGCTCTTGGCTTGCAGCGTGAACAAACCCAGGAGGCCATCATCTGGTCAGTTGAGTTTGTAAAGATTCCGGTGCCTTATTTCTGGAGGGTTCCAGGTTCCAGGTTCTGTGTGTGGTTTCCAAGCCGAGCATGCTGGAGTAACAGGCCCTCTGTGTGAGCACGGGGCAGAACAAGCAGTAAGGAGGCTGAGGTCCACATACTCACACACCCCAGGTTCGTCCCCTGACATGCTGTCTCTCTCTCCCCTGAGAATAGTGCTGTCCAACCCCTGTGCTTTATAGCTTGTTTGTTATTTTTCCTGCTACCTCTCCTTTCTATTAGACTCAATTAATAGTGGTCTAATGAACTGAATAAAGCAATCTAAGAATTCGGCCATTTAGTCCTGACAGACACTTGGCCAGCAGTAGCTGAGAGTTGCCACGTGAGTACCATTGTTGCCTGGTCAGCTAGGTGTGAGGACACGGCTATGAAAATGAGAAAAAAGAAGAATATATGGGGAGGATCTGGGAAGAGTTGGGGGAAGGAAACCATGATCAGAATAATGTGTGTGAAAAACATTTATTTTCAATTAAAAAAAACATTATTTAAAGTTTGTGAAAACATTTTAAAAATCTCCCTCGTTTACTCAAACTTAGATAAAAAATTTAAGCCCATAAATAAACTTGCATCATTACTTTCGACTTTGACCACATGGAGCGATAAGAATGGAAGCAATCTCTTGGGTAGCCTAGGACATATGATGCTCTGATATAGCAGGTCAAAGAAGCAAACACATCCAGGTCAGTGCAGGGCTCTTTCCAGCTAAGGTTACACCTGTTT